GTTTCTCCTTTATTAGTGTAGATAACCTGTATTCACATCAATAAAGAATTCTCTATAAATTGTTTATAACTAATTTATTTATGTTACTACAAGTAATTGGTCATTACTTTTGTGTTAGAACTTAGGCTCCCTTGAGGAAGGGGCAGTGTTTGTTTAATTAGTTTCTAAAATAAATAACACCTTTAATGGCATAAGCAGTTTGAGATCAGCCATCAGTCTGTTGATTAGCTTACATGATATAATGTGCAAATTTTTTGCAGCAAACCATTGTGCTAACATTTAACATGTTTGCATTAGCATATTTAGTTCTTCCAATAAAACTAAGACATAAATAACAGTATGTCCCTATTTGCCCTAATTTGAAAAAATAAAAAAATAAAAACAAGGCTTGTGGAGGTTTGATAAATTTCCTAACTTTTGCAGCTAAGATTTAAATTAAACATTCTGACATATAAATCTTTCCTATTTAGCAAGGTGATATACAATCACCTGAAATACAGGAATAAATTAGCTAGCTGAAGGTGAAAAAATATTTTTGCTATCATGAGTAGGAAGAAAACACTCAGTTTTTTTGCATTGACTTATTTCTGACTCAATCTAATCATGTTTAGTCCTTAGGGTATGGGTGGAGTCCTCATGTATATGTCTCTCCTAGTTGTTCCAGATGTGTAGGTAGCTGTGGACTCACCTTCTGAAGCAGTGAGCTGCTGTCAGGATCCATGTCTTACTGATCAGGACGCCGCCACAGTGATGCACGCCATTCAGCTGTAGACTGACTTGCCATGGCCAGTCTCCTTCCTCAGCCTTTGTGCCTCCCACGACTCTCTCTTCAGACAATGATATTAAGTTTGGATGGGCTCCGCATTCTAATGAGAAAAGGGCATTAATGTTCTGGGAATATCATGATTCATTTACTTTTGGGAGATGTTGCAAGAGTTCACCATTTATTACTTTTATGTATTCTGTCTTTTATGTATTCTTTCCCAGGAAATGCTAGCCCTTCTAAAAGCATGATCAATATGCTATATTTGTAAGGTACTTATGTGACTACTGTTGCCTCTAAACTGAATTTTCGAGAACATTTCTGAACTTAATTGATGTGTCGCTTCAAATTCTGGAACACCTTCAGAGTTCTCTGGAATTCCTCATGAGCTGGGGTTGGTCATGATAGGTCACTGTTGGGTTCACTAGGAAATATCCATCTTCTTTGTAGCCTCACTACTCAGACTATTATCTGTGACCTCCAATATGGGTATCCCTGGGAGCTATTAAAAATGTTGATGCTGTATCAACCTAAGTGTTTGTCCGTGGATGAATGGATCAAGAAAATGTAGCATGCGTGTGTGCACGCACACTCACGTGTGCGCACACACACACACACACACACAATGGAATAATGGTATAATATTTAGCCTTAAAAAGAAAAACATCCTGTCATTTTCAACATTAATGAACCTTGAATGTATTGTGTTAAGTGCAATGAGCCAGACAAAAGAAACTACTGCATGGTATCACATATGGAAGCCTATATAATAAAAGAGAAACATGCAAATTAACTGTCCTTCCACTATGCTTAAGCCACACGCACAAGCCACGTCCACAAGCCAATCAGAAGCAAGTAGGCAAATTAACCCAAATAAGATGGTGGCAGCCATGGAGCTGGAGTGAGCAGGAGGCTTGGGTTGCCCCCGGTGATGGAGGAAGCCAAGCTTCCCACCTACCCAGGCCAGCCCTCGGCCCT